TGATTAAAGCACTTTCTAAACATTTTCGTCTTAGTAAATTGCTTTCTCGATTAATTAGAGGAACCTTTTTAAAATCAAAATTATGGTCAGTCTCGTTATGGTGAGCAACTACTGCACTTAATGTGTTGTTTTGTAAAAGATCCCTTTTGTGTTCATATAATCTTTTATTTCAATTCCTTGAGGTTTCTCCTATTTTGTATTAATTAAGTCTCTTATTGTTTTAGACGTAGTTTTGACAAATTTTATGCTGAGTTTAGATAAATTCTTTTTAATTGTGGTTGTGAAAGAGTTGGTCGGTAGAACAATATATTTTGATTCACTGCGTTTGCCAGGAATGTCTGCTTTTCTATTTTGGAATATTTTATGAGCCTTTTGTTTCCTGTTGAATATGAAATAGATTATCGGAATGGATTAAAAGTATTTTCTATGTATTTCTCCTCTTCATGTAAATATCCAGGGCTGCAAATTCTGTATTCTCTTAAGTGGCATCCGATGATTCTTCCTGATTTTATTTTGTTGTTATGACGGAAATAGAAATTTATTAGACCATTTTTATTGGTTGATTTTCAGTGGACAATAAATTTTTAAGCTGTTGTCACCGCGGCGTAACAAGATGTCTAGGAAAGGTAAAGTACTGTTTTCTTCCATTTCGTATCTAAAAATTCTATTGTATGTTCGACTTTTTTTTACTTTATTTACAAGATTAGGTAAGTCGGTATCACTGTGATATATTAATAGTGCATCGTCAATATATTGAAAGCATGTTGATTGTCTAGATAAAATATTTTGGAAAGAACCAAGATTCAGGAACTTTTTAAAGAATACATACCATCACTCCATGTAGGGGTGATCCTATTGGTAATCCAAATTTTTGTTTATAAAAATTATCGTTAAGTGTAAAATAACATTGATTGGTGATGAGACAACACATTCTTATTATTTTAGCTATCGGAAGAGAGAGGTTTATCTTTGATTGTGTAAAACGCTTTTTTAAAAGAATTTACATTTTTAGAAGATTTTAAATTTTAAATTCTCAGCGTCCCTCTTTCATTTGCGTGCACGTGTACTCATATCAACGTGAACATAAAGTTAGTCCAATGAAATTTAAAAATTTTAAAGGACAAAACATGTCACAGGAAAAAATTTTCCACTTTGTCATACTTCTTTCGCTCAAAAACACACACACACACACACACACACACACACACATATATATATATATATATATATATATATATATATATATATATATATATAAACGAGAAAATAAACAGTTGATTGCTGATATCTCCTGACGAAAGGGCGAAGCGATTGCTGGAGGCTCCGGTCTATGAAACTCTAGTCCGGACGCTGAAAATAACATCAATTAGCTGAGTGACAAATTTTATATTTGCGTTAATTAGATAAATAGATAGATAGGTGAGAACAGATAGATAGATAGATAGATAGATAGATAGATAGATAGATAGATAGATAGATAGAATTTTAACTTTATTCAATGATTCTGCTTTTATAGCCAGTTTGGAGACTAGTAAAAATGAATGGTAGCCAATATTGCTACTGACTTGGCTAATTTCCAGCAATGACAGATAATGTTTCTATCTGGCAAATCTGGTGACCTAAATATGAGATTCCTGAAAGAAAAAAAATAGTGAAGTGTTGTAATAGAAATAGAAATAAACTTGAATATTCTTAATTATTTTTTTCATTTTTTTGTATTTTTTCTTTTTTTCAGATTTCTCTTTTGCCTCGGTGGGGGAGAGGGGCAAGGGGGCATTCTTCTCACAAATCTCATTAACATAATTATTTTTTTTTATTTGATTAAATTCTAGAATTTAAAACACTACCAGTGATCCAAATATATAAAAATTATTTTAACCTATACACCGCAATAAAAAATAAACTTTGATTAGACCACCTTCACCTTCAATTTTCTGTTATCTAAAAGATGAAAAAAGAAAAAGAAAAGTCCAGACAAAACTAGTAGAAACGTTTTATTGGTTACACTCTCCTTCAACTCGTTTGACTCATCATTTTTTTAAAGCATTTCACCCCAAGCAAGGTTGTAGTGCCACTAGTACGCAAGTGGTTACAATGAGTGAAAGTAAGAGTAAAGAGAGGTGTTTGAAGAAAGGATAAAGAGAAGAATGGGGATTAAGATCAAGGCACCAGAAGAATTCAATTGACATTACATTTAAATTTTTGAAGATTATAGTTATCAGAGATGCAAGTAGGAGGAAGGGAGTTCCACTGTTGGGAAGGGCAAAAGAAGAAGCTGTTGGAGTAGAAGCGGCGATTACATTTAACTGTTTTGACAGTAAAAAGATGGGACCGAGATGTCACGCTTAAATTCATGCAGTTGGGACACCAGTGAAAATAGTTTCTCAGAGCAGTTGCCATGAAAATATTTGTAGAAAAACAGGGAGAAGCCACATCACGTCTGTGAGAAAGTGACTGGAGACGAGATGCCAGGTCAGGGTCTATCACATTGCATATCCGTCTTTGGATTTTCTCGAGAACCTCGAGATGAACAGCGATGGCGCCATCTTAAATATGGCAACAGTATTCAATGCAAGGACGAGTAGTAGATTTGTAGATTTGAAGTATGGACTCAACCTTTTCTGGAAATCCCAAGCAAATAACAATAGAATAAAAAACATTACTGTTTACTGATTAATAAACAGATTAATAATAAAATATCATTGCTTTAACTAAGATAAAGAGGAACCATTCACATATCGAGTATTGTTTGGATTCTCAAATTTCTTATTTGTATAGTTTCTCTTGTTAACATAACTTTGAGAAGATTCATCTCTATATATAAAACAGAGGCTGTCTGTGTGTGCGTCTGTGTCTGTCTGTCACTCGAGATCCATCCAACCGATTTTGACCAAACTTGGCGCATACATTGTATAATGTAAGAGATGGGTTCTTAACGTAAAAATCGATAATTTTTTAAAAATCAATAATTGATAAAGCTGATCCAAAATCGATAAATTCAACTTTTTTCTCCGATTTCCTTTAAACTCGCTATGTAGGTTACTTACATCATGACAAGCTCAACGTTACGTCATTTTTATTTCTACGCCACTGCGTTTAGCGAAAAACTACAAAAAACGAAATATCGATTTCAACCCAAATTTTAAAATAAAAACTCTCTCAATTGTCAAGTAATCTAATAAAACTTCACTCGATTGTAGCCAACAATAAGTTGGTTGTTTAACAATCATTTAACTTGATAAGTGAGTCCACCCATATAGTGAAAACCCACGTAAATAAAGAAAAATGGCGATTTTTACTGGTGTCTTTCTTATTTTTTGTTGATCTTTCAACCAATTTTCCTCAAACTTAACAATTGCTTTAAACGTATCCTCTTTTACATCCGTGTTAGCTCACTGACAAATTGAATTTCAAAAACTGCAAAATAATTGTGGTCTGAAGTGGGTCTTCATGTGGCCTTTTTTACTCTTTCATGTCCTCGGCTAACTTCGATTGAATAAATACAGACGACTTCTGTTATATCAGTAATTGCATTAATTCAAAATGATTTTTAATGACAGTACTTTAAAGTAATTGAAGATGAACTCTTTTACATCTAAACATGATGCTGTTTTTGCTCAATTCTAATTGAACGCTTTTTCTGATTGACCAGCTGGTGGGTATGGCTGCTAGTTAATTAAAATATGTAATATTATTTGGATGCTTGCATCTCTTCTTTGTATGGTTGCTGCTGTTAACACTATAAGCTTTGAGAAGGTAGCAGGGATAAAAGATCGTTAGAACAGATCTAGATCCAGGGCTTTCTTACTCCTAGGACGAACCCCTCCCTGATTGGCTGTCTCTTCAGGAATGTAGACGTACTACCATGCTTGTCCAATTGCAAATTGATGAGGCTATTTAACCCATAGTTGGAGTTATTGATTTTAGAGTTGTCCTTCTCCTAGGCTGTTTGCAACCCAAAGCATTAAGACCCAGTCTGTCCTGCTATTTACCCATAGCTCGAGAAGAGATGGATTCATATCTTTCCCAAGGGTATTTACACATAAGTGAATGTAATGAAGCTGGATGGAAGTCAAACTCAGCTTTCTGATTCTTCAATCTGAACTGTTACCCATTACTCCTCCAGTGTGAGAAGTATCATTAATATATTCACTATTATTCAGATGCTCATATATCTGCTTTGTATAGTTGCTCTTGTTAATATAACTTGGAGAAGAGTTATTAATATATGTAACACTAGCTTAAAAGCCACTCTATTGGGTGTCATTTAAGCTACCTCTTACTGAGGGCTCTAGATTGGGCTTTCGGCTTGTTCAGGAGTTTGGGAATCTCTAAGTCTTTGCATATTCTCAGAACTGGAAGCTCTCCTGGCTGCCATTTGATCTGAGTTTTCATCTGCATGGGACTTTCTTTTTCTCGATGCAGCCTTGGCTCTTTTGATTGCAATCTTGTCCTTTGTTGGTGGAGATTTCTTTTTGTGAGGCTCCCATATGAAAATAGATAACAATAAGCTACAGAAAAAATTCAAAATTATTGATTGCTACATTGAAGAATTGCATTAATATTTAAGCTTACCTTTTAAAAGTTCAATGATAATTCTTCTGTCACCACTTAATTTAAAGACAATTTGATATACGTAGGTCCTTACTTTCCGTACAAACGATTTCTTCTGCGGCCACTTAATTGAAAGACAATTTCATGTATGTAGGTCCTTACTTTCTGTCCAAATAATTATTTTTATTACATGGGTGATTTTCGCTGAATTTTGCAATTAATTTTGATTATTCCCAAATTTATTGTTATCGTGCAAAAAGTATGTTGTAAAACATCACGTAAAAAATCGCCAAAAACAATCACAGAAATGAAAACTTGGAAATCCAAAATTTCAGGATCGTGGGTTTGGAATGTTTTTAATTTACTCACGGAGTCAGCCTGATTCCAAAATGGTATGATATGTTGGGCTATGGCCTCGAGTTGTTGAATTTGTGTCGTCTGATCTAATGAGCCGCGACCTCTTCTTATTCTTACTGCAAATGTTTACCACTTCGCAGCAGGTGATCAGAGTAAGTGTTTGTCAGTGAGCTATTGAAAGTTAGAGAGTTGTGTCCCTTTAATTGAAACGTGTGACACAGTGACACACTGACGTTCGCATTTATTATATAGATTATTTGGATACTTGTCTCTCTTTGTATAGTTGCTGCTGTTAATATTTAAGCTTATCTTTTAAAAGTTCAATGATAATTCTTCCGCTGCCACTTAATTTAAAAACAATTTGATGTACGTAGGTCCTTACTTTACGCACCAACAATTATTTTTATTCCATGAGTAACTTTCGCTGGGTTTCGCAATTAATTTTGATTATTCCCGAATTTATTTCCAAGCTATAAAAACTGTTATTGTACAAAAAAAAAAAAAAGAAAAATATCACAAAAAATCACTTTAAAAAATTGCCAAAAACAATCACAGTAATGAAAACTTGGGAATCCAAAATTTCAACATTGAGGGTCTGGAATGTTTTTAATTTTCTCACAGAGTCGGCCTGATTCCAAAATGGTATGATATGTGGGATATGGCCTCTAGGAGTTGTTGAATGTATGTCGTCCGATCTAATGAACCGCGTCCTCTTCTGATTATTACTGCAAATGTTTACCACTTCACAGCATGTAAGTTTTTTTTCAGTGAGCTATAAAAAGTTAGAGAGTTGTGTCCCCTTAATTGAAAAGTGTGACACACTGACGTTCGCATTTATTATATAGATTATTTGTATACTTGGCTCTCTTTCTATAGTTGCTGGTGTTAAGATTTTGAGAAGGCACTAAGGATGAAAGCTCAGTAGAAGAGAAGAGATGGATTCCTACTTTTCTCACCTCTTTACAACAGTTACTATTTTAGAGAGATTTATTCTCAATAGGTGCTTCATATGCTTTTTTTATTTGCGGGGGTGGATTTTTATTATTAATGTGGTAGATTTTTATTACTTCAACGTTATTAGTGGATATTCATATTTGAGTAGGCACTCCATTTATTTATTAAACAGTATATTTATTTATTTTCGTCAACCATCCTGAATATTTGGGAAATCTCATTTGAAAAGTATGAGGAGCATATATATATATATATATATATATATATATATATATATATATATATATATATATATATGTGTGTGTGTGTGTGTGTGTGTTTTTAATGTTATAGGTTATTTATATAGACACAAATATTTAAGTAAATACTCTGTTTATAATAAACAGTACTAACAACATTTACCAGCCTGAACGTTCGAGAAATTTTCATAGAAAATATGCGTCCTCCGACAGGAATCGAACCTGTATCCTATACGGAACCATCATATAACCTGACGTACTATACCAGTCTAGCGGAACGGGCGTTTTACTTGTTAAATTAGGAACACGTGTGAAACTCCTGATAGAATATTAAAAGGGTCCACTACAAGAATATGGTGGACTCGAGTTGAGTCCAACCGAAAATGTAAAGAAAACCAACAACCGATATATATATATATATATATATATATATATATATATATATAAGAAGAAATATACTCTTAAGGTGTGCCATATTTATGGGATAAAGTGCTCAATATCAGAGATAGAGTGTGTAAATATAAAAGTGAACATTGAAGTCAGCACTTAGAGGCGACAGACTGTTTCATGCTAGACGCAATAGTCGTGGCCTGACTATTGCGTCTAGCATGAAACAGTCTGTCGCCCAATCAATGTTCAGTTTATATATATATATATATATATATATATATATATATATATATATCAACAAATATATGTATTAAACAACAACATTTACAATGGACATAGATATTAACATTTGTGTTTGTGTATGAACGTAAAGGGTTTGTATTTTGGTGTATGTGCGTACGTACGTGTATGTGTTTATAATACTCATGGCGTCTCCCACAAATAGGAAGACGCAACCTTCTGCGATAGCTTACATTGTAGATGTGTTCGCTGAAAATGAAGAAATAAAAAAGAGAACGAGGCAATAAATCACCCAGTATTTATAGTGTAGAGAGAGCGTGACCTAGTGAACAATTAGGAAATTAAGGAGGAGTTAACTCCGACACCAGTTTAGCTACGAAGGAGCGTCTGGTTAGCACGGTCGATTTTACTGCTTTTAAACTACAATCTTCCATGATTTCCCTCAAGCGATCATATCTAAATGTAAACAAATGACGTTACACGCTACGAAATGGACAAGGTATTCACTGAAATGCTTAATTAACTTTAATTAACTTTTAACTTTGACTTCTTTGGTCTTGTTAAGTATTTATTTTCGGTTGTAATTAAATACTGTTTTATCTTAACATTGAAGTCTTGAGTTAGTAACGGCTACCAGACGCTCCTTCGTAGCTAAACTGGTGTCGGAGTTAATTATTACCGGCTACCGTACGTCACAAAAAATACTGACATCTACAATTCTAGAATTAGCTGTCTATCTTTACTGTTTATCTTGCCCTTTCTTACATTAATATAACCCCAAACAGTGGTCCTTGTGCCTTGCATTGGTTAAACATTAGGAAAATATATATCTATATATATATTGATCAAATTTATCATTTTAAAACATTAAAACATCAACGTATTATAAAGAATATCGTTTGTCAGACATTAGTCAAGACAATGGAAAACAATTAACAATAACATTTTTTGTGAATATAGCATTAACAATAGTGTATAGACTGACCACCAACCACTAGCTATTTCAATAAAAATCTATGGAAGGCCAAGTAAACAAATATTAAATGTTTGTCATGGCTCTTGATAATGCAAATCCACTTCACATGATTATGCGATGATAATATCTTATATTTGTTACCACCAAAATGGGTTAAAATTAGAATAATTCTCCTTATCAAGATTAGCTTAGTACAGCACAAGGTCAGTATAATGAAGTGCCCAATGAAGATCACAGTCACTAAAGTAGTTAAAGTTGAAGCAATTAACTTATTAACCTTTCCTGCATGGCAATGCATAATGCTATCAATAAATATTTATTTAGGATAGCAATATACCATACGAGACACCCAATCAGGACAAATCTCTCTAAAATAGTAACAGCTGGAAAGACAAACTTGACAACCACTGTCCCATGGTCAAGCACATTCTTATTAGTGAATCTTAAGTTAGTCCTACAAAAAAGCATATGAGGCACTTAGTGAGGACCAGTCTTTCTAAAATAGCAACAGTTGGAAAGACTAGCTTACTAAACACTATTCCATGGCAAGGCACATTCTTATTAACGAATCATAACTTAGTCCTACAAAAAAACCCACAGTCCACTAAAATACTGACAGCTGGAAAGATTAGCTTTCGAAACCACCATTCCATGGCAAGCACATGCCTATTAATGAATCTTACTTAAATCCTACAAAAAAAACCCCATGAGGCGCCTAGTGAGGATCAATCTCTCTAAAATGGTAACAGCTGAAAGAACTAGCTTTCTAACCACTATTACATGGCAAGCACATGCCTATTGATGAATCTTACCTTAGTCCTACAAAAAACTATGAGGCACTTAGTGAGGATCAATCTTTCTAAAATGGTAACAGCTGGAAGTACTAACTTTCTAACCACCATCCATGGCAAGCACATGACTTGATGAATCTTACCATAGTCCTAAAAAATACTATTGCCACAACACCTAAAATAACAGATGGAAAGAAGAAGCTTTCTAACCACTATTCCATGGCAAGCGCATGCCATTGATGAATCTGTCTAGTACAGGGCACCTAGTAGGATCAATCTTTCTAAAACCACCATCCATGGCAAGCACATGCCTATTGATGAATCTTACCATTGTCCTACAAAAAACCATGTGCCACCTAGTGAGGATTAATCTCTCTAAAATGGTAACAGCTGAAAGGACTAGCTTTCTTATTATTATTCCATGGCAAGCAGATGCCTATTGATGAATCTTACTATAGTCCTACAAAAAACCACGAGGCACCTAGTGAGGACGTAGGCGATCATGGACCTCCACCCACTTCTAGCTCTTAAGAAGGTTTGTCTTTTTGTTATTTCTCCCAAACCCTGTTTCACCATCCATTTGCTCAAACCCATCAAGTATGTTATTCGCTGCTTTCCCCTGTCTCTCTTTCCCTCAAACTGTCCTGTCAGTATCAGATTTTCCAAGCCTTCCTTCCTCATTACGTACCCTTAAAATTTCAACTGACTCTTCCTGATGTTATGTATAAGTTTCCTCTTCATTTACATTATCTTCAAAACCTCGTCGATGCTCACATGTTCGGTCCATGGTATCCTCAGCATCTTTCTGTAGAGCCATATTTCTGTTGCTTTAAGTCTCTTCTTTATTTTTGAGGAGATTGTCCAACATTCGCTGCCATACAGGAGGATAGATATCAGTACACTTTTCTTTGGTTCTAAGAAAATAATCTCTTAATACTCTGCTTAACTTTTGTAATGCATCTTTGGCCATCCCAATACATTTCGATGCCACACTTTCTGTCCTGTTAGAATACATCCCAGGTACTTAAATTTCTGTATCTGCTTGATTTTAGTATCACCAACCTGTAATTTGCATTTTGGGCTCAGCCTTTTGCTGATAACAATGCATTCTGTCTTTTTGTACATTATGCTTAGTCCTTTCTTCTTGCTTTCCTTCGCTACCTTCTATAGGAGGTTTTGTAGTCCGGTACCAGCACTGTGTCATCTGCATATCTTATATTGTTAAAATTGTCGCTGCCAATAATAAATCCTGGTAGGACTTCTAATTCTCTGAGAATGGTCTCGCTGTATAAGTTGAATAAATCTGGTGAGAAGACGCATTCTTATCTTAGACCTATTTCTATTTTTGTATATCTGTTAAATTCATTTTCTCTCTATATGCAGGCGGTTTATCTGCCAGTACAGATTCTTGATTATTCTAATATCAAACTTATTGAGACGCTCTGACAGATCTTTGTGGTGTTCTTTGGCAAACGCCTTTGCATAGTCTATAAAACACAGGTACACGTCCTTCTGCATTTGTATTGCTCTTTCTAATAACATTCTAAGCATAAATTTTGCGTTCATTGTTCCATAGTCTTTGACGAACCTGCACTATTCTTGTCCTATCTCTGGCCTAATTCTGCCACGCGATCTATTCATCAGAATACGGATGATGAGTTTTGTTATGTGGCTCATTAGGCTGATTATTCGGTGGAGTTCACATTTTTTAGTGCCTGGTTTCTTCAGAAATTCTATAAAAATAGATTTACTTAGGTCTTCCAGTATATCCCTACTGTTGTAGATTTAATTTATTATTTCTGTAATCTTGTCTATGCTGAAATTGTCTAAGGCTGTCAGCATTTCTATTACAATTCCGTCTGGCCCTGCCACTTTGTTTCTGTTCAATTTGACCAGCACAGCTTCCACTTTGATTTTTAATATTTCCAGTCAGTCAGTATGTCTGTGTATTTCCAGTTGTTCTCTTTCATTGTGGAGAAGTTCTCCTATATATTTGGTCCATCAAGTATTTTCTGTTTCTCTAATATCAGTGTTTAGTCCTTGAATTTCATGCAGCCTGTTGATGAGCATGCCCTTTGTCCTGTTAGTTCACTTATTTTTTATGTATATCTCCTATTTCTTCTCATTTTTCATTGAGCCATTCCTCCTCAGCCTGCCTGCATTTCTTCCTTATTTCTTTGTGAAGTTTTTTGTATTCCGTTCCATGTCATGGCATTATTTTCTGTCTCATTTGTCATCCATTCTATTCCTTATTTTCATCAACGACCATCCTGACGCCATAGATTCCCAAGTTGGCATCTACGCGGACGACACTACAATTTACTCCTGCCTCAAAAACAAATCTAGTGTCGGTGACAAAACTAACCTGGCCGTGCGTCTTGAAATGGACCTCCAATCGGTTGTTAATTGGGGCAAGAATTAGCTGGTCAACTTTAACACCCCAAAAACTAAACTACTCTCTATTAATCACCATAGACATCCTTCCCTGCCCCCCATTAGAATGTCTGATAGTCAACTTCTTGAGAGCAACTCCCTGCGTCTGCTGGGTCTCACGTTGACTGCTGACCTGAGATGGAACAAATACATTGAGTCAATTGCTTCTTCCACCGCGAGGAAAGTTGGCTCTCTGTGCCGCGCCAGGAAATTTTTCTCCCCGGAATCGATACTTCAAATATACAAATCAACCATTCGCCCTTGCATGGAGTATTGCTGCCATATATGGTCTGGGGCACCTTCTGTTTACCTCGGAGTTCTTGACAAGATCCAGAGACGGATATGTAATATAATTGGCCCTGATCTGGCGTCTCGTCTACAGTCACTCTCTCACAGACGCACTGTCGCCTCTCTCTGTCTTTTCTACAAATACTTTCATGGTAATTGCTCCGATGAGCTGCTTTCACTGGTTTCCAGACTCCATGAATTCAAGCACCCTACGAGGCTGGCATCCTGCTCTCACCCTTATACTGTAAAAACTTTTAAATGTAGCCGTCTCTTCTACTCCAATAGCTTCATACCTCGCACCTCTCACCTGTGGAACACCCTTCCCAATTACTGTTTCCCTGAGAGCTATAATCGACATCTCCATTTACTTTGATCTATCCAATATGTTTGCAGTGGTGTGCAGTAATATAAATCTATTTTCGGGGTGCATGATGAAATTTGATGAAATCAGATTTTCAACACGCTCAGACACTATTGTCTCGACTGTCGATCAGTTGTCCTGCGGCCATTGTCTGCGATGGACGCCCCTCTAAGGAAGCGCACGAAAATCCTAACGCTGCACAAACACACTGGCAAACCTTAGACTCTGTGGTCAATTCGTAAGCAACGACTTCGTGGAATGGACATGCGAAGTGCAAACATGTTTAACGGAATTTTCGTTTTGTTTCAATTAATTTGCACATGGATGTGTTTGTATATATATATATATATATATATATATATATATATATATATGTGTGTGTGTGTGTGTGTGTGTGTGTGTGTGCGTGTGTGTGTGTGTGTGTGAAAAATAATACGATCAAGACTGTATAATTGTAAGCCAAAACTATACAACACTTTTTATTGAATATTATTAAATTTCGGGATTTCCGTATTGCACAGTAGTATTTGAATCAAGTATTAACTGATGAAAGGAGCAGAAATCCCGGAATATGTACTAACATTCAATGTTGTACAGTCTTTGTCTACAATTATATCGTGTCTACACACGCACACATAGATTTCATGGAATGTCACGGGAAACTTTTGTAAATTCTCTTGTGTTCTTCCAGTTTTTTTCTTGTATGAGGACTAAGGGTGTGTAGAAACTGTCCATGATGATTATTGCTTTTCTTAGCCGTCACATTCAATGAAACATGTATTAAAGAAGGATGAATGTCCATATATATATATATATATATATATAATCACTTTTCTGAAAAATAATAGTGTAAAATCTAATACTTCCCAAAACACATTATTGGCCGAAAAATGTCTTCAATAATTCTTTTTTGTACTTAATTGCTTTATTTTCACGGACCTTCTTATTTTTTACTTTTTTTTTTAGCGATTTAAGCACACTAGTCTTTAATTACTTTCTTTCTTTCTTTTATTCTTTCATTCTTTCTTTCATTTCACTCTTTCTTTCACTCTTTCTTTCATTCATTCTTTCTTTCTTTCTCTCATTCTGTCTTTTTTTCTTTCTTTCATTCTTTACTTCTTTCTTTCATCTTTCTTTATTTCTTCCTTTTATTCTTTCTTTCTTCATTTCTTTCATTCTTCCTTTCATTCTTTCTTTTTTTATTACACAATTCCTTTTTTACTCTTTCCTTTACTTACTTCTGTTCTTTTCTTTCTTTCTTTCTTTCTTTCTTATTTTATTCTTTTCTTTATTTTTCCATTCTTTCCTCTTTTTTTTCTTCTTTTCTTGTTTATTTTTATTTCCTTTCTTTATCCCTTCAGTTTCTTTTTTCTTTCCTTATTTATTACGTTTCCTTATTCTATCCATTTCCTATTTTCTTCTTTTTTTCTTTTTCATTTATTTCCTTATTTCTTTTCTTTCTTTATTTCTTCCTTTTTCTTTTCTCTTTCTTTTTTCTTTCTTTCCTTATTTTTCCTTTTTATAATTTACTCTTTCTTTCTTTCCGTATTTCTTCTGTTTTCTTTCTTTCCTTCTCATTTCTTTCCTTTATTTCCTTCCTTCTTTCTTTTGTTTTCTTTATTTCTTTCCATTCCTCACAACTCTTCTTCTTCCTCTCCTTCTTCCTCGCCTTTTCCTTATTTCTCCCTCTTAAATCAAAATACAAATCAATTACTGTTGTGTGTAGGTTTATCGTTTAACTATAGCAGCCAGGTAACATTGATACGCAGGTAAAAATAGTGATTATCTGCCAATTGACGAACGCCTCAAATTGTTTTGCCAGCTATAAATTACTGGAGATGGGACATGGAATATACAACTGATAGTGGAAAGGCGGGGGCGGGTTTTGATTTACTTTGCTTTTTTAATCATAAAATGCCTACAAGAAGTGTACAAAGAATTTTCTGGAGACAATGCCAGAAGAAAATTGTTTCTATTTTAGTTCTACAATGCATTGTTGTCTTATATTATTTTATTTTTTTCCTTCATTACGTGGTAGATTCAAATTCTTCGTTATTTTGGAGAAAGCTATGTAAATAAATGTTGCAGAAGTAGTGCAAATTCATATTTGCTTTATAAGCATTTTGTACACATATAGAATTGAACGATATCCAGACAAAAATTGTTTAAAATAATGAAGAGGAAACGCTTTACTCGAGACTGTTAAATTTTTAAAATAAATAATTCGACAAAATAAAATAGAATAAATAATCCTATGAGAATTGTGCTTGTCCCTGCCTTTATTAGTTAGCACGACCGTTACGCCCTGCCAACACCTCATAAATAATGAACTATTCCGCGTTTTGATTACCTGGCTTCAGTGAGAAAATGAAAGAAAGATAAAGGAAAGATAGAAATGGAGAGAGAGAGAGAGAATCAGAACAAGCTAATGAGAACAAATACGGCACTTTGATCAAAGCCAAAAGGTCAAGAAAATATGCCGACTTCGAAAAAAAAAAACGCCATTTTTCATATGCACATTATTGAACGGCGGGAACCGAGTAAGGCAATCGCCAAAACTCCAATTACCATAAACAAAATAAAATAACATAGTCTCTTGGACTATTTTTAAATTCTTATTAAGAGAAATGTTCCTAAGATGGGGATTTGGCTGGAAAGAAATAAGGGAAGATAAAAGTGTTTAACTTCTCCTGCCAATACCTCATAAATAATGAATTACTCCGTTTTGATCGCATGAAAAGAAGGGAATAGAGACTACTTGGTCCCAGTGAGAAAGAAAGAAAGAAAGAAAGAAAGAAAGAAAGAAAGAGAGAAAGAAAGAAAGAAAGAAAAAAAAAAGAGTGTTTAACGTCTCTTGCCAATACCTTATAAATAATGGACTACTCCGTTTTGATCGCATGGAAAGAAGGGAACAGAGACTACTTGGACGCAGTGAGAAAATGAAGGAAAGAAAGAAAGAAAGAAAGAAAGAAAGAAAGAAAGAAAGAAAGAAGGGAAGAAAGAAGAGGAGATAGAAGTGTTTAATGGCTATTTCAGTGCAATAGAAAAGATCAATTTCAAATCTTTTCATTTCTACCCACTTCTACGGCTATTTTATTGTCGTAGAACTTGCCATGAGCTTATTCGATCAGTAACTTAAAAGAACCTCCACTAAATTTTCGATACCTAAGGTTTAAAATGAATTATTTAAAATGAAAAAGCATTCTTGAAGCTTTCTTTTTACATTTAATTGAAATCTAAATGATCAACTTTACTATTTCCAGTAATCAAAATACTCTGGTGTATTTCAAATAGAAATTATATTGATTGGAATCTTAACTTTTTGGCCACTTTCAGAAAATGGATAAAAACTGGAATTTCGACACATTTGTAAACAAAAGTTAATTCTCGGTTTTAAAAATCTTCCAAAAATAAAATATATATTTGTGACACATTATTTGAGGAAAATTAGCAAATTTAAAGTTATTGAAGTTATGATTTGAAATAAATATTACTTATTACATGAAACGTAGTAACGTTTTATGCTATAAATAAATAATATTTCAAGCATTTCTTAACCATTGTGTCTTGTTTTTCTGACGTGTTGATTGATAATTACAGTCGAACGTGTTGAAAAGCTAAGGATGGTTGACAAGAAATTTACATAAATTTACAAAATCTAAGTGAACGTTTTGTTTTTGGTATGTAACTATCTAGTAATTAAAAAAAATCAACATAATATTTTCAGCAATTATCTAATACCTTATTGAATTTTAGTTACTTTAGCTTAACAGCTTTACATTTTTATCAAAATAACTCTCACAAAAAGTAAAAGTTAAAAATCTTAAAAAAGTAAAAAAAAACTACTTAAAAAGGCGTTATTTTTTATGAAAAAGTTAAAGTAAAAATAATTTGAAAAGAAATATCAAAATGACACGAAAATTAAAAAACAAGAACTTCAAATACCAATTGAATAAGAAAAACTTAATTTAAGCTAAAGTAAAAATTATTGTTTAGTTATATGTACCTCCACTAATTCGATATGCGTAAGGTATAAATTGAATTTTTAAAAATGAAAAAAACTTTCTTGAACCTTTCATTTAAGCCTTAATTGAAAGCTAAAGGATTTAGAATTACTATTTTCAGTAAACAAAATACTGTGTTATGTATTTCAGACAGAAATTATACTGATCGGGATCGATTTTTTTTTTTCAATAAAATTGATAAAAATCGGCTATTTTGACACATTTGTAAAAAAAAAAAAAAATAATTCTCGATTTAAAAAATATTGCTAAAATAAAATAAATATTTCTGAAACGTTATTTGAGGAAAATTAGCAAATTAAGGGATAAATTAACCTAATTTGAAACAAATATTATTTACTTATCGCATAAAATATTGCATACACGCATTTCTTAACCTCGGGGTTTTGTTTTTTTGACGTGTTAATAAATTTATTGACAGGCAATTGACCGCCGAACGTGTTCAAAGTTAAGCATGATGGAGCAGACGATAAAGTTTGAGGACTTTTTTTCTTCCGTAAAGTGGGAAAACACTTAAAACACGTGTCCTTTTAATGATAATGTTATAGGTTTGAACATCCATACTTAGAAATTCTGCACGTATATCATACATACAAAAACAAAAATTCTTTTAAAAATATTCGTTGTCATCAGATTGTAATATGCTTTACAATAGTAAATATAATTTTACTTAATAACAATATTTTACTAAATAACAATATTTTCTAAGAGTTATCTCATTGAAAATAAATTCAAAAAGATTTAAAAACTTTATGAATTATTCAATTTAAAATTTCAAAAAATGAAAACAAATGTAAAATTTGATTTTTCATCGATAATCTTTTTTTCAGACAATAAATATCTTTAATATATGTTGTTCATAAAAACAATTAAAAGCTTCTCTTTTTAAGTAATGTCTTAGTTTTCTTGCATTTTTTATTTTTCGATTCAGAATAGATTTTTGGTAAGGTCGGATCCGATTTTGGAAAAGAAAATCAGTGATTTAATTTCTTCAAAGAATTCTGGCTTTAACTAATATAGTTGTTAAAAATTATCACGTTTAATTTCTCAAGTTTTCATAAATTTAAGTGTGGGTAACATGTATTATATATATATATATATATATATATATATATATATATATATATATATATATATATATATATGTATGATACCAAAAAAAAAAATTCAAAAATAATTTCATTCAGTATCTGTCTATATTTCTGAGATGAGGTATTATGTACACTATTTACATTATTCGGATTATTGCCCTCATCTTTGTCGCCATATTTTCACAACGTTTCGGCCTTTCAGTATCTGTCTATTTTCTGAGATAAGGTATTATGTACACTATTTACATTATTCGGACTATTGTCCTCATCTTTGTCGCCATAAGGACACAGTGGATAAAGGCGTTGGTTAGATCCAGTGACAGGACCCAAAGAGTGTGAGTTCAATACATGGTTAAGGCAGTGGAGAACTTGGAGAGGGGAATTAACAGGAGGTAACTGATAACTGACATCCATTAAACATGGCACGTGGAACTAGAACAGTCTACCCCAGTGAGCGAAATAAAGGGTTCAGTTCGACATTCCAACCACGTGAAGAAGGCCGGAGCGTACAACTACCGAAACGTTGTAATAAATATGTCGACAAATATGAGGACAATAGTCCGAATAATGTAAATAGTAATTTCATTCATTTGTGAATAAGTTCTGAAAATTTAATTAAAAAATTTCATTAAATCCGACAATCATTTGATTTTTGCAAGAAGTTCCAAATTAATGTGTCTGTCACCGCAAAAAAGGCTAAAATTTGTTATGCTAAAAGTTAGTACAACCGTTGACGCAAGAAAAGCAAGTTTTTATTCAAAATTTTGAATGTTCTGAAAAGTAGTAAAAAAATTAATTTAATCTTAAAAAAAATACTCTGATTATTCCTCTTAATAATAACATAAAGAATTTGTCTATAAGACTATGTTTTCACTACATTTGGAACACGTTTTCACCTAGCTATACTGATTTTTTACCGTTTTTGTGGAGGTACCTATGAGTAGAATTATATTGGGTTCCGTCTCTAGGTTCTTTTTTCACTAAGTGAAACTCAAAAAAATAATTTAATTCAAGTATGACACACACGAAAATAAATGCATTAAACAAAAATATTTAGTGAAATAGGAATTAAAAAAGTAAAAATTACTTTAAAGTTTAAAATTTAAATTACTTTAAAGTTTAAGATTTGCAAAGGCTGTTGAGGCGTAGACACGATGAAACACAGAAATAAATAATAAAAGAAGTGCAGAAAGCTAAATTTTCCAGTCACGACAACTCTTTTTAGTGGGCACAACACGTGATGGACTACCATACTTGCAAAAATGAGAATGTTTATACACTAAAAAAAAAATTATTTTAGAAATCTTGTTGCAAAACGTCTTTCGCAATCAATATCATCATTTGAGAAGAAACCAGAAGTGTTGAAACAAGATGGCTATTTGTAGTGATGTTATAACATGCTTATGTTATAATTTTGAATAAATATTATTTGCTCTACTTTGTATTGAGCACTTTTTTAAAAATAGTGTTTTTTGGTTGGAAATTTTATTCCATCTATACCAACCACGTACTCGTACACACACACACACACACACACACACACACATATATATATATATATATATATATATATATATATATATATATATATATATATATACAAATATTTAGAGGTACAAAATTTATATATAGTTTTAAAAACAAGGAATGTATTGATTTTAATTTTAAAAGTCCCTAAAGGCCCTTTCAACCAACATCTCATCAGGAGACAATCGTTGGATCAACGAAAAGAATATTAACGACAATGAAGAGTAAAAAAGGGGGGAAACACACTAAAAACAAACAAGTGTATATATTTGTAACGGGGGAGAGGAAATAATCGTGTAAATAAATTAGCGAGGACAGTTAAAATAAAATATCCCCAACAGATTAAGAGACTTTACAAATTCTTTCTGCCGGCAGAGAGAAGGTTTCCTTAATCCTATGCAGACCGATTCCAAAATCTTCAAATGATTATTGGAATCGGCTGATTCCAACAATCATTTGAAGATTATCTTCAAGGTTTGGTTAAATAATAAAAAGAGGCACGGTGAGATAGAAGATAAATCCTTTTTTTAACAAATGCATAATGTGTAAACGCTTCTCATGAATTCTCCTCGGAACCGATAACCACTTGTACCCATTTGATGTTGTAATAAATGACTTCTGTTTACTTGAAAGACAACACCTCCCTTCAATGACGTGTCATTCGCGTCAACTTCTACTTGACTCTCAAGATCAAGCTCCAAACATGACATCATTCAACTGCCAACTATTTTTTTTTTATAATCTTGGCGCTCATTAGATTTCTTAAAGACTTCTTGGTTCGGTTTAGAACGTTTCACAATTCTCTTGTATTCTTCCACTTCTCTTTCTTTCTATTCCTCCTCCCTTTAACTCACTCATTCTTTCTATTTATCGATAAATTTATCTTTTCTTTTTTCATTCTTTCCTTTATCTATTCTTTTTCTTTTTTTCTTTCCTTATTTCTTTTCATTATTATATCCATTTCTTATTTTCTTTTTTTTTTCTCTTTCCTTTATTACCTTATTTCTCTCTTTTTCTTATTCATTTCTTTCCTTTCTTTATTTCTTATATTTTCCCTTCCCTTTGCTTCTTTTTCTTGCCTCTTTCTCTTTTTCCCTTTCTTTTTTTCTTTTTCTTTTTTTCGTTTCTTCTTGTATTTCTTCCCTTTTCTTTCTTCTTTCACTTTTTTAATTCTTTCATTTTCTCATTCCTTTCCAACTATTTTCTCTTTATTTTCTTTCTTTCTTTCTTTCGTCATAAATCTCCTTTCCTTCTTCTTCCCCATTTCCTTATTTTTCCTTTCCTTATTTCTTTGTCTCCTTCCTTCCCTTATTTGTTCCCTTTTCTTCCCTCTTTCCTTTTCTCATTTCTCTATTTATCTTCAATGGTGTACAGACTTTTTGGGCCACCTTGGTAAATTACTTTTGTTAATTTTACCCCCAAATCGAGAGTGATTAGCAGTATGCTTTTCTCATTATTATCTTATGATCTTTGAAGACCAGAAAATAAGTTAACTGCATTTTCGTTAATGTTCTATGGTGGTCGATAGAGCATCTTAAGCATAGTGATTCTGAAAAAAAAGGCCATGCAAAAATACTGAGTCAACTTTCATTTCTTTTCTTCAGTTAAAAAAGAATGTTTCTGTTTGCTAAAAGTGATCTTTATTATTAAAAAAAAAGTGCAAAACGTTGAAGTATGGCGTTAGTAATTAATGTTGTGGCCTTTGATACGAAGAATAGCCTTAATTCGATGTGACATTAAACAGAACAAGGTACAGATTTTCTCATTGGGAATTTTTTTACCGTTCTTCTTCTTTCTAGTAATCCCAAAGCTCTTAATTTTCTTTGGAGCGCTTCAGTTCCCATCACAATTGTTCAGTTACATTGAGATCTTGTACAATGTACAGTCTTCCAAAAGTTGAACATCTTCATAATAACAAAACATTTTTGTCGCACGTGATGGGTGCCAAGGAGCACCGTCATGTTGAAAAAGATCTCCATCTTTGTAGTTTGTCAGAAGATTAGATCGTAGTAAACTAATATAGTTTTCGCTGTTTGGGTTTTCGTCAACCTTTACCAATTTTCTTCTACAATCGCAATATATACATTATGCGTGTATCTCGTTGCCACTTTTGTAATGTCAACGAATAGTCGTTGTCACTTTCGTAATGCTCGTAGTCGCAGATACAACTATATTAATGCCGTTGAACAATACTGGTGTCAGACGCCTTCGAATAGCACTCGCACTAATAGTACTTGCTCGATAATACTCGCTCGAATAGTAATCCGTATAGTGATCGGAATATCTTTAACTTTTTCTATCTATCTATCTATCTATCTATCTATCTATCTATCTATCTCAGTGTATTCTTATCTATCTATCTATCTCAATATATTCATATCTATCTATCTTTTGTGATGTCAACGAACACGCGTTGCTACTTTTATAATGTCACCAATACTCGTTGTCACTTTCGTAATACTCGTTGTAGTAGAGACTTTGTAATCACAGATACAAATATAGCAACGCCGTTGAACAATACTGGTGTCAGACGCCTTCGAATATCACTCGCGACTAATATTACTTGCTCGAATAGTAATCCGTATAGTGATCCGAATAGAGAAATAGTATAGTGAATAGAGTAGAGAATAGCGGTCCGTATAGTAATAGAAGATAGAGTAGAAATGGAGATTCGAATAGCATAGAAGATAGACTTGAATATAGTGATCAATTAGACATCACGCAACATCCTACTTATGCATTTCCTCTTTGGTCACGTAGTCTACTTAATTTAATAATGGGATCGCCTGTGTTTGTTCACTGGCGATCTAAGTTCAAACTCAAGTATCGGCAGTGACACTTTATTCCTAACACCAACCAATCACTAATTTTTAACGTCTTTGTTGTGTATCCTTTTTTCTCTCTCTCACTCTCCTTTTTAAAGATTCTACTGCATTAAGATGTAACTTTATTGCGCATTTCTCACTAAAAATTACTTTTTGCCACTTTCCAACATCCCGTGTTAGATGTTCTTTAGACCACTTCAGTCTTCTATTCCGACATTTTTTTTTTTTTTTTTTGGTTAAAGATGTTTTTTAGCTACTATACGCCTGTTCCTGTTCATGATTCGCCTTGCGGTATATCATTTTTTTCTCTCTCTTACTCTTCTTTTTAAGACATTCACTTGCATTACGATGTAACTTTATTTTGCATTCATCACTAAAAAGTAAAAGAATATAAACAACTGCCACTGCTGATCTTGAAATAGCAATCGACCAATGAGAAACGCTCTACGTCACTTCCTCCTCAGCCAAGACAAGAAAAAAAAAGAGAACAAATTGAATGCTGGTGTGAAAAATAGAACGCATATATCCAAAGAAAACAGGGGCACCTCAAGGCGGTGTAATGGTTAGCAAGCTTGTCTCGCTAGAACAATTACGCCTGCGTAGTGAGTTTGATCCTCACTGGGTGCCCCAACTTTCGACCTTGGAAAATCATTATATCCAAAGAAAATAGTGATTATTTATGTATTATATTTGTTTGTGCTTCCAATGGTTCACGCTGATTAATTAGTCAAAGAATGTTAATTTGTTTTATAAAAGGAACTAAATATTAATCCACAGACTGTTGTTGATTACATTAATTACTTTCTTGAATATCTGGTGGCACGGGATGGGATAGGAATTTATTTGAGTAATCTAATTCATAAGATAAGTGTTTTGGTCACCATATTAGGGAATCAACTTTTGTTTTTCGCATTTGGAGACTTATAATAGAATAAAATGATATGTGTGACTGATTGATTGGTTTGATTTTTACGGTTTATCAACCTTCTGCAGCATATTTAAAGCCAAAAAATATTTTTACATTGTAAGAATATTTTGGAGATAGTAACGATATATTGATGCAAGTCCTACTATAGTTGGAGTGGTGGGGAGAAGAGGAGGATTCATACATTTCTCAAGGGCATGTCCATGTAAGTAACGAACCCGACTGGAATTGGAGCTCCGCTTTTCAGCATCCATTTCCGAGCATTCATAAGAATAGATAGATAGATAGATAGATAGATAGATAGATAGATAGATAGATATGAACAAACTTAGATATGAATAGACTAGATAGATAGATAGATAGATAGATAGATAGATAGATAGATAGATAGATAGATATGAATAAACTTGATAGATAGATAGATAGATAGATAGATAGATAGATAGATAGATAGATAGATAGATATGAATAAACTTGATAGATAGTGTTATGGAGTCCACCCCTTTTTCATATAAGTGGACTCTACCAGTGTACCTGGACTGCTGCCGTTAAATACCCAGTGAGACAGTCAGTGAGGGTAGTCGGATAGTGAGAGGGTAGTCGGAAAGAGAGAGAATATACGAACGGAGATAGTGTGAGGTAACCTCTTGTAAAAGTCAGTTACAAGCACGTAGACTGTAAGGAAGTCCTACTTCGAGACTGTATATATCTATCCGTATTTGCTACTAAACGTGTTCCTGGATTTACTAACAATATAACCATTTGTATGATTGTGTAAATACATTTTATTTCTTATATTTAATTATTGCGTTTGTTCTTCATTGGAGACCGAATTCATCTCGGAACCCACAACAGATAGATAGATAGATAGATAGATAGATAGATAGATAGATAGATAGATAGATGACGATAGATAATAAACAGAATGAGATAGATAATAAACAGTATTTGATAGATAGATATAAATAAACTTGATAGATAGATAGATATAAATAAACTTGATAGATAGATAGATAGATAGATAGATAGATAGATAGATAGATAGATAGATAGATATGAATAAACTTCATAGATAGATAGAATAGACTTAGATAAATAGGTAGATATAAATAGACTTAGATAACGAAGATAAGGAAAAATAGGAGAAGAGAGAAAAAAGAGAATGAAGAAATATGAACAAAAAATAAGAGAGAATGAAGTAGAGAAAAGGGATTAGATGAGAGAGAAAAAAAGGCGAAGATATATCTATGAAGATGTGATAGATGAATAGATAGATGTGACCCGCTTTCGAACAGTATCAAATATGGGAAGCGTGAAATATAAGTTTACAGACATCCTCAAGACTTTAAAAGAAATCCAGTGAATCATCCCGTGCATGAAGCTTTTTTTTTGCTTGTATCTTTTTTTAAAAAAAAAAACAAAAAAAAAACGAGAAAAGTCTTTGCCCAGAGCCGATTCCCCTTTCTGAACTTCGACTAAATTTGCTTGTATCATTTTATCTGTCAGTCATAATTTACCGGGTATGTGGTGCTAGAAAAGATATTTTGTCGTTTCTCATGCACCGAGTAAGGAGAGAGAGAAGAAAGGACTAAGCATAAACTACAAAAAAAGATAGAATACATCGTCATCCGTAAAAGGATGAGCCCGAAATGTGATTTGCAGGTCGAGAACACTAGAATCAAGCCGGTGCGGAAGTTTAAATATCTGGAAAGTGTTTTGACAGAGGACGGTAAGTGCGACACTGAGATCCGTAGACGTATTGGGATGACCAAGGACACATTCCAAAAGCTGGGAAGAGTATTAAGAGACAGGAGGATTTCTTTGGTAACAAAGAAAAGATTACTGAGCTGCTACGTGACATCTGTCCTCCTTTACGGCAGCGAATGTAGGATGATCTCCTCAAAGATGAAGAAGAGATTCGAGGCACAAAAGTATGGTTCTACAGAAGGATGCTAAGGATATCATGGATCGAGCGTGTGAGCAACGATGAGGTTTTGGTGAGGAGGCAAATAAGTAGGTAGCTTATACTTAACATCAGGAAGAGACAGATGAAATTTCTGGAACTCGTAATGAGAAAAGAAGGCTTGGAGAATCTGATACTCACAGGTTGAACAGTGGGAAAGAGAGACAAGGGAAAGCAACGAATGACATACCTGGCGGAATTAAGCAAATGGATGACAGTACGTGGTCTGGGGGAGGTGGCAGAGGGACAAAACTTATTGATAGCTACAAGGGATAGGAAGAAGTGGAGAGCCATGATCGCCTACGTCCTGAAGGGACACGGCGCATAAAAAGAAAGAAAAGAACACTGAATAAACGAAAATGAAAGATGAGATAAACTCCCCGTACACGATTAAAACATTTAATAAGTGTTATGGGGTCCACCCCTTTTTCATACAAATGGACTCGTCCAGTGTGTACTTGTACTGCTGCCGGTGAATACCCGAGAGTTACAGAGTTAGACGAGAGATACACTGATAGAGTGATACAGTGAACAGTGAGAGAGTAAGAGTGTAAGGTAACCGCTTTGTAGGAGTCACAGTTGCGAGCACGTAGACTCAGAAGGAAGTCATACTTCCATAGTGAATTTCCCAGACTGTATATATATTATTATTGCTAGTGACCGCATTTCTGGATCTACTAACCGTATTACCAATTGTATTATTACGTCAATACATTTATTTGCTATATTTCATTCCTGCGTTTGTCATTCATTTGGAACCGGATTTCATCCCGGAATCCACAACAATAAGTACGTTCAATATTATACAAAAATGTTACGACGATCCTCACGTATCCAAAATCAGATGAATGTAGGCATTGCTCCAAGAACAGGCATATCTAAACTGAGGTACATAAAAAGATGAATACAGATGTCTTAGTTTCTTTGGTTTTCCTGACAAGGTGAAATAAAGTGTCTCGACGAAGTTGGAGAGCTAAGGTCAACAAAAGGCGGTGAGCATAATGTCCGTTCTCCACGCGTGTGGACTTCAGGAAATTGGGAAGAGGCTAACCGTTTAACGAACGAATGTAAAACCTCAACAGTCTTGTAAAAGGGGCTGAATTCACACGTGACCAACAGACACGTGATGTCAGAAGCCTCGCTGTCCGTAATGATTATTGCTTTTCTTGTCCGTCACATTCAATGAAACATGTATAAGAGAAGAGTGGCTGTCTCTCTCTCTCTCTCTCTTTCTCTCTCTATATATATATATATATATATATATATATATATATATATGTGTGTGTGTGTGTGTGTGTGTGTGTGTGTGTGTTTGTGATGCGATAAGAAACAAATAAGAAACGTTTATAAATTTAACATGTTTCGCTTTTAATTAAGTTTCATCAGAAATGAAATATGGAGAAAAATAATTCATGTAATTTTTAATTTTCGTGTTCTTTGTTTTTCATTTGTTAAGTAACCTTCACGTGTTTTTGTCTTGTCAAGTAGCGTTCATGTATATAATTCTTGTGTGTTTGTGTATCAGAATTCTACATTTGCTTGATAATGTGTGTGCATGTTTGGGCGTGGGTGCGGCTAGTGGGTATATTTATTTCTGTCTGGTAGTGTCTGTATGTTGATTGGGGGATGTTTTGTGTGGGAGCGAAATAATTTAGGTTACACCGGTTGCAATTGTAGAGAGAGA